GGCTCAGTCAGCACCCAGAAAAGCATGACCTTCACACATGGTCATCGCAGCGTTTGAGTGCATTTTCACATCTCGACAGTTTGAAAAGATAATTTCTGCAAACCCATTTATGACACAGATGTGAAAACTGAGGCTAGAAAATGAGAGCAATTTCAAGCTTGTCAGCAAGCAAACTTTCTCTACAAAAACCCCGAGAGTAAACGTGTTGGCTGGTGCATCGTGTTGCAGCCATGCAACTTTGCAGTAGTAGCAGCCGGAGAAAATGAGAATGGAGGCATTGGCTGTCTCTCAATAAAGTGTTATCTACAAAAATGTCAGGGGCCCAAGAGTGACTGTGGACATAATTCTGGGGTGCAGTGCTGGTGCCCAGGGCTGAATGCTGAGCCAAGCACTTTTTATGGCTTATCTCATTTGTTTTGCAGACAGGGACTCACCTTGTTACCCAGGCTGGGGCCTTTCCCTTCCAACGTTCCTGTCTCTACCTCCCAAGTTCTGGGGTGACTGGTGATACCAACAAGCACAGCCCATATCTCGCTGCTATTTCAATCCTATTAAGTGTTATTCACTCCACTGAAGACAGATGTGGAGACACTCTTGTAAGCCCAGTACTTGTGAGGCTGAGGCAGGAGGGTCAGAAATTCAAGGCCAGCCTGGGCTTTATGAGACACCACCTCCCAGCCCCATATACCAAAGGAAGTGTCATTAATTAGCTCTGCTGAACAGTGAAACTCAGCTCATGAGGGGCTGGAGAGATGGCTCAGTGGTTAAGAGCATTGACTGCACTTCTAGAGGACCTGGGTTCAATCCCCAGTGCTCATAACTGTCTGTAATTCCTTTTTCAGGGAAACCTCTTTTGGGCTCTGTGAGCACTGCACACACATGTGGTGCATAGCTATACATGCAGACAACACACCCAAACATATGAAATAAATGAATAAAATTACCAAAAAAAAAAAAAAAAAAAAAAGGATATGGCAGAGCCAGGATTTGGACCCGGATTCCTCTGATTCCTCAGCATGAGATCTTAAGTGTGTTAAAAGTCACACGGAGGGATGAGAGGGTGGCTCAGTGGTTTAGCATACTTGCTGTTTCTCCAGAGGACCCGAGTTTGTGTCCCAGAGTCCTAACCATCTGTAACTCTAGTTTCAGGGGATGTGATGTGCATGGCCTCTACAGCAATGCCCTCATTAACAATGATGTCCTCCCCACACTCTTCTGATAGCAATGCCTTCATGTGCACACAGACAGACAGACAGACAGACAGACA